GTCCTTTTCCCCGAATTTGAAGGATGGCTGGTCCACATTCAGGGGAAGGATGCATCAAATGCCAATTTGGAAGCAACGACAGTATACTGTGTATATTTATATAGCAGCAGCAGAATTATATACCATACACCCATTGTCCAATACTGATCTAATTAACCCAGTATATACAGCTTTCAATGACCCCCTATTCATTTCCTGCCAGCTTTATATACTCTGAGACCACAGCTTCTCAATTCAAACTGGCCTATAAAAGAAGTGCAGTTGAGACAAGCTTCCTCTTTACAGAAACAAACAAGACGGCTATCACAGAGGTAACTTTCAAACATTTTGCTGCATTGGTGCTTTCAACAAAGCAATAATCTGTTAATCTTGTTTTCCTCTTTGAATCAGCCTAAAACCAGGAGTCACAAAAGTAAAATAAAATGACAAAAAAGTATGACAAACATCGAGTGTTCGAGCAGGGATTAATGATTTATTTCTTTTAGTTTCATTAACTGTGTACATAACCTCTTTTGGGGAATTGTGGATTCCAATCCGATTAATATTTCTCCTTACCACTAAACTGTCTGATAGTCCCTGTTAACACATGCCTGCTGACAGATGATACAAAGTAACATGTCTTTGAATACAATCTAAAGTCTGTTAATGTTCTGATTTAACAGCAGATTTCTCGACATGCAGGACCGAGAAATTCCTGCCACAAAAGGGGAAAATATATTTATTTGACATTTTAATCAGAATAACAAAGAAATATACAGTTGGTGAATTCATGTGAATGCTGCTTCTGCTGTAAGTCACAGACCTATAAATGCATAAATGCTCCACGATTCTCATTTCTATCCATCATCTTGAACACTGACTATAAATGTGTTCACTTCGTTATTGTGTGATTTGGTTTCTTCACGTGTCTCCTTCAGTGCAAATAAAGGACTGTTAGAGTGTGTGCTGTGTGTTTTTCTGAAGCATGACAATCCTTTCCAACAAGTATTTCCAGCTGTTTGTCTCCACTCTGCACTTTAGTCTTTCTTCCTGTCATGTCTGTGTTTGTCCACCAGGTGTCTCCCTCAGCTCATTTTCTTCAAATCAGAAGCATCAGATTTGTGGAGACGCTCTGCCTGCCAGATGCAGCTCAGGGCAATGAAACATGTCTATCCTCCACAATGTACAGGCCTGTGTTATTTAGTATTTATATTTCAATGTATAAATGATCGAGTGTGATCAAACTTTACATCCCAAAAAATGACATTAAATGTCATCACTCTAGACACAATAATAATGCAATATCAAAAACCTCAAGGATTCAAATCTTACTATATTGGAACATTTAAAAACTCAAAGACATTAAGTTTACAGTCACATATGATCAAGAAAATCAACAATCTTCACATTTCAGAAACTGGAACCAGCTTTAAATGTGACTAAAATAATATTAAAACAATCAATTCTCTAATCATTGACTAACTGATGAATCACTGCAGCTCCAATATATTGTTGCATATGACAACCCACTACAGCAACTACAGAATAAAACCACTAACCAGACTGATGACAGATTTCAAACATGCTGAATATGAAGAGTAGTATCATTTAAACTCACATGATTATCAGCCATAAGAACAAATTCAGATTTATATTGATGTAAGGTATATAAATGTAAGTACAGTTTGAATCAGTGCAATATTATTTTCACACATCAATGTGGTGGGTTGCAATTTTAAAGCCAACGTGATAACGTGATATTCGGCCAATGGTGTGGAGCAAAGGCCAGGGTGTAGAGCCTTTAAGCACAATCAGTAGAGACACACAAAGTAACAAAAAGAAAAAGCTAGTGGGGTCATATCTGACCTTCCTGTAATAGGAGACAACAAACAGCTGCTGAGTAACTTTACCATTCCTTGTCCTTTCACTGATTTAGTTTTAAGTTTAAACTAGTACAAGTATTTTGCCAACTTTGCAAATGTTGAACAATTATGGACTAAATCACTGGTTAACTCCGATGCATCAATTTTTACACACGTTGTTGTGTTTCTGATATTCAATACTTATGTTACATAACTTGCCCTGCCTTTCTTTCCCCTCCTTATTGTCCATCACTTTTATGACTCCTTTTTACAGGGTTAGGGCCAAAGTGAGCTCAAACATTTGAACTTAATGATTGTTGGCCCAGTTTGGACTGTCATACCAGGTGCATCTTCCAATGGGCCAAGTTCGACTATCTGTATGTCATAACCTGTCACCATGGTCTATAAATCTGTCAAAAGTTACATATAAGTTGTACTTAATAAATTACAGAGCAAACTGTATGCATGAACAGGTAATCATTCAACAGATGACACAGCCTTATGATATAAATATGGATAACATTTCACTTAAGTATATGAGTCTTATAGAGTTTGATTATAAGAGTTAAATGCTTAGGAGGGTAAATCCTCTATGAAAAACATTCTACTGTGTACAAGAATACATGATTATATGTTATATATGTCCTCAAAAAATCCAGAACAAATGGACAACTGAACTTCTCCGTCTAAAATGTAAAGCCTCATTTAGAAATTACACAACTACATATAATGGTCAGGGATCAACATGAACATATCTTCTCTGTCTATTTCACTTTAATCAATTCTGAAGTGACTCCATCTCCATAAAGATAAAGTCCAGCATAGAGCGGCTGAGTGAATGTGGTCTGGACTCTGTGGAGGAGAGTCATGGTTTCAGAGACGCTGTAGAAAGACAGAATACCTGCTCTGTGATCCAGGTACACTCCTACTCTGGAGGACCGAGGACCTGAGAGGACAGTTTGTGCACTGTTGTACAAGAACTGATAACTGTTAGTGTAACAATATAATGCCCAAGATTTGTCATTGAATCCAAATACACATTCATTGAGGCTCCCAACTCTGCTGATATTCTTGCATGTGACTGCTACACAAACCTCTCCCCCTCTCCACTCCACCTCCCAATAACAACGTTTAGTCAGACTCTCTCTACTCAGGACCTGAAAACACCAATCAGCAAATCTGTCTGGATGATCAGAATCAAACTGCTGTTGTTTCATTCGTGTTACTTTTCTGTTCCCCTCAGATAATAACAGATGTGTGTTTGCTGTGTTTGGATCCAGTGTGATTTCATGTGAATATTTTAAGAATTCAGCTCTGGTCTTTGGCTCTGGTGGTGACAGTAAAACATCCACTTCAGTGACTGTCAGTGAGATGTTTGTCCATTCCTCTCTCAGAATGTCCTGTAGTTTATCGCTGGTCTCTGACACAGCTGCTGTCACATCCTCAAAGTAGCTCAGAGGACAAATATTGATGCTGGATGAGTGTGTAGACTCACTGAGTGCTGACAGTGAGGGGTAGTTGTGTAGAAACTGGTTGTGATCCTCTGTGTGTGAGAGCTGCTCCAGCTTGCCGTCTTTCCTCTTCAGCTCAGCGATCTCCTGCTCCAGCTTCTCCTGAAGCTCTTTGACTCGACTCACTTCAGTTTCCTGCTGGGATCTGACCTGCTGCTTCACATCAGAGCTTCTTTTCTGGAGGAGACGGATCAGCTCAGTGAACATCTTCTCACTGTCCTCCAGTGTTTTATCAGCAGAGCCATTGATGGCCTCCACCTCCTTTTGAAGCAGCTTCACATCTTTCTCTCGCTCCTGGATTCTCTGCTGGATGTTTAGTCGTCTCACCTCGAGCTCCTTCTGCTTCTCAGTCCTTTCTGCTGCAGCTGGGACTGTTTCATGGCCTTTATGTTCATCCATTGAGCAGACAAAACAGATACTCTGCTGATCAGTACGACAGAAAATCTTCATCACCTCATCATGACGAGAGCAGATGTTCTCCTGGAGCTTCTTGGAGGGGGCCACCAGCTTGTGTTTCTTTAATGATGGTGAATTATAGTGAGGTTGGAGGTGTTTCTCACAGTAGGAGGCCAAACAGAATAAACAGGACTTGATGGCTTTCCGCTTTCTCCCAGTGCAGACATCACAGGCCACATCTTCAGGTCCAGCATAGCAGTGATCAGCTGGAGCAGCTTGGAGTCCAGTCTTCTTCAGCTGCTCCACTAAAGCTGCTAATATGGTGTTTTTCCCCAGGACAGGCCTCGGTATGAAAGTCTTCCTGCACTGAGGGCAGCTGTGGATTCCCTTCCTGTCCTCTTCATCAAAGTGGGTTTTAATACAGTTCATGCAGTAGCTGTGTCCACAGGGAATAGTCACCGGATCCATCAGTAGATCCAAACAGATGGAACAAGAGAAGGTTTCTCGGTCCAGCTGAACTCCTTTCTGTGCCATTTCTCCTCTCAGTGTCAGTGACTGTGTGCGTTTCTCTTCCGTATAACTGAAACTAGTCTGAGGTGTAATCTCCACAAAGTCTTTTTCTTCAGTAAACGGAGCTTATCAGAGCCTACGTGCCATCACATGTTGGTTACACCCATGAGGAGGAAACACGTGGACAGAGAGGAGGTGCTGTGTTTAAGAGCAGGAAGAAGAGGGAGGGTTATCAGGCTGTGCTTCACTCCAGGAAGAGGAGCAGTTTGAGAGCGATACTGTGTGTTTAACCCTTTTTATTTACTGCTCACCTCAACTTTTAAACTTGTCAGCCCATTTTTCTTTATAAAAAAAACTTCCCTTTAGAAATGTCAGAGTTCTCACTGAAGTTAACAAACAGTCCTTAAGTTTCAGTTAATGCAGAAGGATAATAATCCTAAATATACAGATAATGAAGCCACTGACATGATGCTTATGTTGCATTTAAGTTCATGTTCATTTCAATTGTTTCTCTCCCTCAAAAACCATCAAACGTGAGGGGGTGCGCTAGATTTAGTAGTTGGTATATGAGGCAGTAAACAAATAAAAGTGTTTTGAAACACATTCAGCTCCACAAAACTTTGATAAATATTTGACAAGAATAATAAAAAGGAACCTTGTGTTTTACTGAGTCGTGTGACTGATGTAGCTACGTGACTATAGTTGCCAATGAAGCGTCGGTAGAAGTTGGCGAATCCAAGAAATTGTTGCAGGTGCTTCCAGGATGTGGGAGTCGAAAACAAAGCTGTCCAGGAAATCCTGGAGAACAATAATAATGAGTGCCTGAAAAAAAACCCGTTGGAGTCCAAACGGCATCACGAGGAATTTGAAATGTCCAAGGGGTGTGTTGAATGCAGTTTTCCACTTATCCCCTTGTCTGATGCAAACCAGGTGATAAGCGTTGCACAGATGAAACTTTGTGAAGATATTGGCTCCGTAGAGGGGTTTGAAAGCTGAACTAATGAGGGGTAGTGGGTATTTGTTTTTTATTGTTATATCTTTATATCCAGAAGTCAATACGTGGCAGGAGGGAACCATCCTTCTTCCCCACAAAAAAGAATCCCACCCCACCCTGAGAGGACAAACGTCGAATGATGCCGGCCGCGAGCGAGTACTTAATGTACTTCTCCATGGCTGAACATTCTGGACGGGAAAGGTTGTAGAGCCGACTAGACGGAGGAGAACTGGGAAGTAACTCAATGGGGAAATAATACGGTCAGTGAGGCGAGTGAGTGCTTTGCTTTTGCTAAACACTTCCTGCAAATCGTTGTACTCCGAGGGTATACTGTACAGTATACCCTCGGAGTACAACGGCTCCTGATCTTTCCTCTACAGTGTAGAGCAGGGGTGTCAAACGTACGGCCCGCGGGCCGGATCAGGCCTGCAAATGGGTTTAATCCGGCCCGTGAGATGATTATGTAAAGTATAAAAATGAGCAGCAATTTTTCAATAAAGAAACTGCTGTTCCAATTGTGTCCATTGGATGGCGCAATAGCAATTGTGAGCTACTTTGTTTTGCCTGCGAAATTTAAACCTGATGTGCTTTGGCACCCTCATTGCCCCAGTATGTCTCTGTCAAAAAAGAGAAAAGTGGATGCAGAGTGTTCCAAGAAAAATGGTCATACCCCTATTTATTCACGGAAGTGAATGGGAAAGCTGTATGTTTGGTGTGTTCCCAGCATGTTGCAGTGCTGAAAGAATATAACCTCCGTCGCCACTATGTGAGTCTTCATGCCGACAAATATGACAACTTTCAAGGAGAGAGAAGATGAATGAACTGTTGGTGGGTTTGAAGAAACAGCAGTCTGTGTTTACTCACAGCCGAGACATCAGTGATGCTGCAGTGAAAGCTAGCTACCTCATTGCTAACGAAATTGCACTCGCTTCAAAACCATTTAGTGAGGGTGAATTTGTAAAAACATGTATGATGAAGGCATCGGAGATTGTGTGCCCTGAAAAGCGCCAGGCCTTTGCAAATATCAGCCTGACAAGAACAGCTGCCGACAGGATTTCTGATCTTTCAGCGGATTTGGACAGCCAGTTGAAGCAAAAAGTAAAGTCATTTATTATGTTTTCAGTTGCAATTGATGAAGGCAGGGACATTACAGATGTTGCACAACTTGCAATTTTCATCCGCGGAGTTGATGACACATTGACCGTCACCGAGGAGTTTGTGGAGTTGGTACCAATGACAGATACAACGACCGCAGCTGATATTTTCACCGCACTCGTCGGCGCGCTGGACAGGGTCGGAGTGGACTGGTCCCACGCTGTCAGCCTGGCTACAGATGGTACGCCCTCAATGATCGGGAAGAAAGCAGGCGTTGTAAAAAAGTTCCGAGATAAAGTGCAATCTGCAAATGGAGGATGTGATTTTTGGACTTTTCACTGTATTTTGCACCAGGAGGCTTTGTGTTGCAAGTCACTGAAAATGGATAACGTCATGAAGGTGGTCATCCAAACTATTAATTTCATCCAATCCAGAAGCCTCAATCACCGTCAGTTTGACAGTCTTCTCAGAGAGAAAGCCACATCTATGGCCTGCCATACCACACTGAGGTAAGATGCTTGAGCTGAGGTGCTGTGCTGATCTTTGATTTACGAGAAGAAATTGAACAGTTTATGGAAGAAAAGAGCAAACCAGTGTTAGAATTTCATTCCGCAGAATGGATGCAGGACCTTGCATTTATGGTGGATGTTACAGAGCACCTGAATAATTTGAACAAACAGCTGCAAGGACGCAACAAAGTTGTCACGCAGTATGGTGTCTCGCTGGTGGTGATGCAGCTCACTTCCCCTGTCTGAAAAATGTGTGCACGATGCACAATGTGAGCAAGTTTTCTCTGTAATGAGCATAAATAAAACAAAACTGTGCTCAAGGCTCACGCACAGGCACTTGAATCACATCCTGAAGTTAGCTGCCGCTCAGGATGTGAAGCCTGATATTGATGAGCTGGTGAAAGCTAAAAGATGCCAGGTATCAGGAGTCAAATAAACTATAAACTCCCAATCAAGGTGGGGGTTTTGGGTGGGGCTAATCACAAAGTGAGGGAGGATAATTCCTCAAGTTTTATGGGCTCATCTCGAGAGCGAGTTGATCCTTCATGGTCTCATTTAGTGACTGAAGATAGATTCCCAGCAAAGCCTGATCTGGCCAGCCGACCTCTGCCATGGCTGTTGGGAAATCAGTAAGATAGTTGACTATCATCTTAGCCAACTCCCCGATGAACATTTAGCATTTTTCTAGCAGTACTGCCCTCAGAAACCTCCTCACATTTCAGCCCTCATTTCTCATCATACTCAACATGACTTTAAACACTTTCCTTATTAGTTTAGCTTAAGACTTTCCCGTTTCATGCTTTTTCAAGAACAGCTTTCTGAATTTATATTTTCCTAAAGTTTGTTTTTCTTAATACTAAATGTACCTAATTTGAATGATTTTAATCATTAGTGTTTTCAATTGGAACACCTTGTTTGTTTTTAAGAAAAAAAAAGATGCAGAGCAAAACTCAGTTTAGCTTGGATTTTGCTCCTCAAGTGTCCATCCATCATTCTAAATGATAATCAGAATTACCTTTTAACGTTTTTTTTTTGTTTGTTTTTTTAATTGGGACATGAACTTATTCTTAAAGTTTGCTTTTTAAATCTCCACATCAAATCTGAGTGGATCAAAGAAGTATAATTTGAAATATAGAAACAGTAATTACAAATATTTGACTTCAGGTTATTCACATAATCAAAAGTGTATATCCCAAATCTGTATTTTTCTTTTTTTTTTTTCAACTTTAATTTTTATTAGTTTTAGTTAACATTGAAAATGATACAGTAAAGAAAATTACAAACGAACATACAAACAGTCTGGAGTTTACATTTCTTTTTCCACCTATCACGTGCAAATTTCTTTTTAAGTTTTTGGTGACACTTTGGAATGCTTTCCACTTCCTCCATTGTCTATCATATTTACATCCCATCAGTCTAATATTGAATGTTATTTTTTCCATCTCTGAGATACCCTCTACAATCCTAATCCAATCTTGTTGAGAAGGAGGGTCTGGGTGTAACCACTTTTTTGGGATTGCTTTTTTAGTTGCGGCTAGAATTATTTTTACTAGATATAAGTCCTCCTTTTGTACCTGTTCCTTTATGTTTCAAAGGTACATCACTTGACAGGTGTTTGGGGGTGCATAGCCCAGAATATTATCCATGGTCATTTTAGAGTCTTCCCAATACTTTTTTTTATTTTTATGCACTTCCAGAATACATGTGAATGATCTGCTTCTGTTTCTCCACACAGTCTCCAACATTTCTGTGGACTTGAGATCTGTTTACTTTTAATTTTGGGTGTAATGAAAAACGCGTCAAATTTTTCCAGCAAAATTCCCTCCACAACGGCGAATTCGTTGTGCTGTGCTGTATTTCACACATACTAACCCATTCCTTCTCTGTTATAGTTATGGCCAGTTCAGCTTCCCATTTCCTTTTAAGGTAAAAGGTTGTGTCCTGTCTATCTTCTTCTAATGATCTATAGAAGGTGGAAATTGCTTTGAATTGTTTATGTTCATAGCAATTTTTTACTAGTCCGATAACACCCAATGGTTTTTCAAGCCAGTCAGTCTTTATTTGCTTTACGCAATAGTCCGTTACTTGCAGATATCTAAAAATATCTCTATTTTCCAATTTGTATTTATTTTTTAGTTGTTGGAAACTCATTAGTGTTCCATTGACCAGGGTGACTAGTTTATTTTCCAATTTCCCTTTAATTAAAAAATATCTACCTTCCTTATCAGACACCTCTCTATAACATTCAAATCAGACAGAATTTGCTATTAAAGTAGCAACTCCTCTTTTCTGACTTTGTCTATAGGAGTTATAATAAGTGTTTTTATAGCCAAGTCTTTTCAATTTTTCATGTTCTTGTGAAGGCAGATGGGTCTCCTGCAAGAATATTACCTGTGCCTTTTCTTTTTTGAGTTTTACTACCACCTTACTTCTTTTGACTGGATTATTCAATCCATTCACATTTAGTGACACCAGTTTAATATTATTAAAAGACATGTAATCT